CCAAGGACGGGTTCATGACCTGTTCTGGCTTCTACCAATTTCAGTTTTATAACGATCTGCCTCTTTGACTTCTCCTCGCCTTCTACACATAAATGCTTCCTTTGCGTGTCTGTCCCACGTATCGAAGTCATACCTCCCTTCACTCCTAAGTCAGTAAATAGTATTTTGCGTTGGTTGCTTGAACAATTAATTTTCATCTTATTTCGCGTCGCGCCTTCTGGTCTGTAGTCTTATGGGGAGAGAGACAACTCCATAGTCGCGCTTGCGAGCACAACCGCATGGGTGGACAAATGATCATCACACGAAGATTTTCATTCAATATAGAATCCCGCAAGCGATTTTCGCCGCTAACTATATACGCTAGTTCACGTGACAGTGCCATTCCGCGCGTGGAGAATGGCCGGATGGCAAACACATTCGTTAATTTGTTTTGGCCGTATACAACGAATTCCGCTGGCTAGGTGCATTCCGAGAGCTGCACCAAGACTATCGCCCGCACTCGGAACTTGAACCGCAACACCTGCACTTGGCCCGAGCTTCTCAACTGTTTGTTCTGTGTACAGACCGTGTCAGCATTTTAACTATTCAATTATAATTGAACTAAAAATATAGGAATATTTTGTTTCTCTACGAAATCTCCAATGTGATGTGTGTGTGAGAGAGTGTGTCTATGTTATTTGCCAGTAATAGATCGAAAATGAAAACTAATAATTATTTACGAAATGCGTAACGTAATTTCATCCATTAATTTACGAGATCAAGTCGACTTGCTGGGTCGATCCCCCACTTGATAGACATGCTGGTCGATCCCCCACTTGATCGACTTGCTGGGTCGATCCCCGACTTGATCGACTTGCTAGGGTCAATCCACCACTTGATCGACTTGCTGGGCTATTCTTCTCTTTGATCGACTTGCTGGGTCGATTCCCACATGATCGACTTGCTAAGTGGATCCCCACTTGATCGACTTGCTGGGCGATCTCCCACTTGATCGACTTTCTGGGTCGATTCCCCACTTGATCGACTTGCTGGGTCGTTCCCACTTGATTGACTTGCTGGGTCGATCCCCCACATCATTCGACTTGCTGGCGCATCTCCACTTGATGACTTGCTAGTCGATCCACCACTTGATCGAGCTTCCTGGGCTATTCATCCCTTCATCGACTTGCTGGATCGATGCCCCCACATATTGAGCTTGCTGGGTCGATCACCACTTGATCGACTGCTGGGTCGATCCCCTTGATACATGCTGACGATTCCCCACTTATCGACTTGCTGGGACGATTCCCCACCGATTGGTCGATCCCCCACCATGATCGATTTCCTGGGTCGTCCCCCACAATGATCACTTGCTGGGTCGTCCCCCACATGATTCGCTTGCTGGTTCGATACCCACTTGATCGACTTGGCGGTCGAGTCCCCACTTGATCGACTTATGCTAGGTCGATCCACTCTTGATCGACTGCGGGCTATTTCTCTTGAATCGACATTTTGCTGGGACGATCCCCCAACATATCGACTTGCTGGGTCGATCTGCCACGATCGAACATGCTAGGACGCTTCCCACATTGATCGACTTTACTGGTCGATTCCCCACTGATCGACTGCTTGGGTCGTTTCCCCCACATTGATGCGACTTGCTGGGTATCCCGCCAATGATCGACTTGCTGTGGTCGACCACCACTTTGATCACTTGCTGAGTCGATCCCCACTTGATCGACTTGCTGGCGATCGATTCCCCACTTCATCGACTTGCTGGCAGATCCCCCACACATGATCGACTTGCAAGGGTGATCCACACCTGATCGACTTACGGGGTCGATTCCCCACATGATCGACTTGCTGGGGCGATCCCCACATGATCGAACTGCTGACGCGATCCCCCCACATGATCGGCTTGCAGGGTCGATCACACATTGATCGACTTGGCAGGGTCGATCACACCACTTGAATCGACTTTGCAGGGTCGATGCTTTCCCTTGATCGACTTGCAGGGTGGATCACGCCACATGATCGACTTGCAGGGTCGACCCACACCTGATCGACTTCTGGGTCGATTCCCCGACATTGATCAACTGCAGGGTCGATCCCCCACATGACTCGAATGCTGGTCATCTCCACTTGAATTCACTTGTCTGAGTCGTCCCCACTTGATCGACTTGCTGGGACATCCCCCACAGATCGACTTGCTGGGTAGATCCTCATTGATCAACATGCTGCGGGCTTCTTCCACTTGATCGACTTGCAGGGTGACCCCCCACATGATCGACTTGCTGGGTGGATCCCCTCCCACATGATCGACTTGCTTGGGCGATCACGATCGACTGTCGCGATTCGCCCACTTGATCGACTTGCTGGGCGATTCCCCACGTATCGATGACTGGGGATGATTCCCCACATGATCGGACTTGCAGGTGCGATCTCCACATCATGAGTCGACTTGTGCGGGTCGATCCCCACACGTATCAAGACTTGCTGGTCGATCTCCACATGATCGCAACTTGCTGACGACCAATGTCGCTGAGTCATCAACGCTACATTCAGGGTGAAACTGTCGACTTCAGTTCGTGACGATCAGTGGATCCCCCACATGATCGCTTGCAGGGTCGATCAACACCTAGTGGATTCGGGTCCCAGCACTTGCAGGGTCGATCCTACACACTTGATCGAAAGCTTGGGTCGATCTTCCCTGATCGATTGCGGGTGCCCAGTCGACTTGCAGGGTCCCACTTGATCCGAACTTGCTGGTCGATCTCCCACTGTGATCGAACTTGCAGGGCATCTCCCCACTATGCAACGCTGTCGCTGGATGATCGATCCTTGCGACTTGATTCAACTATGCTGGCTGGTCTTCCCCTTGATCCACTTGCTGGGAGACCCCTCACATGAAGCTTGGCTTAGCCCTTGACAATATGCTGGATTTCCACTGGATCGCTGGGGACCCCACATGATCGACTTGCTGGCGAACTGTCGATCTGGCGATCCCACCTTGATTCGACTTGGCTGGGTCCGTTCCCCACTGATCGACTTGCTTTGTGGTCGGATTCCCACTTTCATCGATTTGCTGGGGCAGATTCCCACATGATCGACTTGCAGGGGTGATCCACAGCACTTGATCGACACTGCGGGTCGTATTCCCCACATGATCGCTTGCAGGTCGCATCTCCACAATGATCGAAAATGCTGTGTCGATCTCCCACTTGATGCGACTTGCTGGTCAATGCTCCACTTGATCGACTGCCTGGTCGATTCCCCACATTGATCGACTTGCTGGGTCGATCCTCACATGATCGACTTGCTGGGACGATCCCACATGATCGGCTTGCAGGGTCGATCCCCACATTGATCGACTCTGCAGGTCGATCACACACTTGAATCGACATTGCAAGGGTCGATCTTCCACTGTTGACTCGACTTGCAGGGTGGATCCCGCACTATCGACTTGCAGGGTCGATCCACACCTGATCGACTTGCTGGGTCGATTCCCAAATGATCGACTTGCAGGGTCAGATCCCCCACGATGATTCGAAATGCTGGGTCGTCTCCCACTTGATCGGACTTGCTATCGATTCCAGTCACTCACTGGTGATCTCGCACTTGCTGGTACTCATGCTATCGCGCTGCGGTCGATCTCCACTTGATCGACTTTGCTGGTAGATCTTTCACTTGATCAACATGCTGGGCTATTCTTCCACTTGATGATTGCTGGGTGGATCCCCTACATGATCGACTTGCTGGGTCGATTCCACCTTGAATCGCTTGCTGGGTCGTTCCCCACTTGATTGGACTTGCTGAGGTCATCCCCCACTTGATGACTTGCTGGGCCGATCTCCCACTTGAATCGGACTTTCTGGGTCAAATTCCCACTTGATGACTGCTGGTTCGTTCCCACTTGATTGAACTTGCTGGGTCGATCCCACATGTCGACTGCTGAGTCGATCCCAGTTGATCCAACTTGCTGGGCGATATCCAACTTGTCGACTTCTGTTAGATCCTCACTTGATCAACATCTGGCTATTCTTCCACTTGATCACTTGCTGGGTGGATCCCCCATTGATCGACTTGCTGTCGAGTCCTCCACTTGATGACTTGCTGGGGTCGATTCCCACTTGATCGATTTGCTGGGCAGATCCCCACAATGATCGACTTGCAGGGTCGATCCACACCTGATTGACTTGCTGTGGGTCGATTCCCACATATCCGACTTGCAGGGTCGATCCCACATTGATGCTTACAGGTCGATCCCACATGAATCCTCCTCTCTGGGGCGGGAAGAGGGGCGGGGGGCGAGTGAAGGGTCTTAAGACGCTGGGGTGCCGGTGGAGGCAAGAGAAGCGGTCGGGAGAGCGAAGGTCAGTGGAGTAGCGAGGGCTGGGGGTGGGTTAGGGGTGTACACTTTGTGATAATTTTAGCAGAGGTGAAGAGAGTTCCGGGATTTGTTGGTTAAGACACGTCATGTTCTGTTTTTTAAGAACGCTGTGTATATGTAGGGCTTCTAATTTTATTCTGTTCCAGTACCTATTTTCAATTTCTAGAATTCGGAAATTTGTGTGTTTATTATTCCATAACTTTCCCTCTACAGCGTACCGAGAAAGTAAAAATGCAAGTATCGCTCGGGCTGTCGGTGTCTGTGAGAGGCGATGACGCGGTTGGGTTCGGTTCCCCGCCGCCGGTGACGCGAGCGTCGCATTTGCTTTTAAATTGAACGAGGCGGCCGCCGCCGCCGCCGCCCCCGGAGGCTGTACGCTCTACGCTCCATCGAGCTCCCCGGGAGATTGGTTTTCTCCGCGACCCAATGAATTTCATTTGAGTCTCAAGCGTCCGACTGCGCGACCACGTCACCCACTTCTCCTTCTTCTCCTTCTTCTCCTTCTTCTCCTTCTTCTCCTTCTTCTCCTTCTTCTCCTTCTTCTCTTTCTTCTCCTTCTTGCTAATGATCTCACGTCGTTCAACTCTCCTCTTCCTTCTTCTGATCCTTTTCTTTTCTTCTTCTGCTTACCCTATCCTGCTTCTTCAACTCTCTGTTTTCTTCCTTCCCATCTTATTTCTGTCTCTTCTTCTTCTTCTTCTTCTTCTTCTTCTTCTTCTTCTTCTTCTTCTCGTTTAGTCGCCTCGGCGGGTGAGCTTACAGATCTCTGAACACCCAGTGCGTGCGCGGGTTCGACCCCCGCCGAGCTGCGAGAATTTTTTTTTTTTTTTAAGTCGGAAAATCCACAGTAGTCATGTCACTTTTGTGGTATTTAAGAGAGGCTCGGCAAAATTAAATCCTTTCGACATCATCCCACCCTAACGAGATTTCACACTCTCCCGACCAGATAGTTTGGATATAGTTAACTGAAGACGACATCTGGCGGAGAGAGTCACACCTCAGGCGTATGAGGGGATCGCCCGCGAGGTGCGCCTGTTCGTTAAAGATCCCCAGGCTAGGGATGGGTGATTTAATAGCAATTAGTGCCACAATCGATTAATTTATACACTTAATCGAAAAATCATTTAGTTTCTAGCTCGATTACTTTAATTCAAATATTAATTTTCAAGACAAGCAAAATGTGTTGAGTGGTTTCAGAGATTACCATACGCCTGAATATTTTTCGCCATTATTGTTCCTTTCCTCTGTCAGTTGTAGATTGTGGACATGTTAAAATATGTTTCTATTTGATATTGTTCATTTGAAGATCTATTATTGAGATTTATATTATATCATAATGTTTTTTGTAAAAGATAATTTTATTTATTTTGTCGATTATTGAAAGAATATAAAAGAATTGAGATTTGTTCGATTAAGTAGTTGCATTTTATTTGTGCAAAATCCGTGTGTATTACATTTTTTTAAAATTTAAAAACGTAAAGTTACTTTAGTTGATGAACGTGCTTTTTCTAATTTCATTAAAATAACAACTAGATTTGAGTTAAATATAAAGTTGAATAAATAACATGACAGAAAAGTTATTTTAACAGGACAGAAAATTGGGAATGATTCGCATTATAGTGATGGATTTGATTACAATAAGTTAAATAACTAAACATTTTTAAAAAAATTAATCGATTATATAAGATTAATTATATAATTAATAATTAATACATATCGAAATCGATGCATATTGATCAAATAAAAAATAATCGATTAGATATTAATCGGTTATTATGTAATAATCGCCTCCTCTACCCCAGATCCGCGTCAGAGATAGTCTACAAAGGAAGAAATATCAGCCAAAGTAAGGGTACTCTCCGTGCTAATAATCTCATACGAAAAATAAAATAAATCTCATTTGAGGCTGCTAAAGAAATCTGTACAGAATGTCTAGGTATAAGTACTTCAAACTTCTATGGCTGTACAAAAATCGAAAGCGACCTCTTTCGCCAATGAACATGTGGTGGAGAATTGTATATAACTCCGTTTCCTTCATGTAGGAATGTGACATTTGCTCGGACTGTTGCGCATCCTCATAATCTTTGATGCTCGGGCAGGTTCATTCAATCATCTTGGATGAGTTAGAACGCGACCTGCTGGATAATTGAGCATGATTAGATGCTTAAAATCAGAGGGAAAAAAACATTTGTAACTCAGATAGATGACATTTCCCAATTCTTCTTTGCAAAAAGTTATAATTTGTGACCCCTCTATTTTCTCTAAAAGTTTGTGAAGTGGAAATATTCTCAGACACCTGAATATTTAAAACGCTGAAAATTTGCTCTTTGAAAGAAGGTTAAGCTGTCTAAGTGGTCTAAGGTTTTGACAGATATCAGGGAAATCGGGGAAGAACCAAAAGCAATGAAACAGTTTCGGTTTTGACAGAAAAATGCAAATATGTCATTGGTTTATTTAACATATTCTCATAATGCAGGAACAAACTTAATTCTCATTACCAGTGTGTCACTGCTAACGCCAAGGTTCCCAGGATGAAGCCGCCAAGTATTTTAAATATTACCTTTTTTACAAGTTGCGGTAACAAACAACTACGTTTTTTTATATTCTTGGTGCGTAGAGAACAGTTGTATTGTGATATACGAGTATACTATATTATGTTATAGCAGTATACGTGATAATGTTTTGAATTTTTAAAAATATTTTGCAATGTCATGCAAGGGTATTTTATTTGTTGTTATTGAGCAGTGGGCGTGCTACATGTTAGAAAACCATTTTGTGTGGTTTCGTTGGGCAGAATGTTAGCTGCTTCAGATTCCAAGTTTATAATATTGCAAGTACCTTAGAAATCCCCAGAATGGAAAATGTGATAAACTTAAACAATTAACGCATCCTGACACGTGCACGAAAAAACAGTATTTCAACTTAATAGAAAAGCCATAGAATACGAACAGTAAGTAATGTGTTCTCTTCTATATAATAGAAAGTGATATGGAAATCCCTGTTCTGGCGCACATACCAGGCAGAACGAATGAGGCACTCGATTGGGGTTCTCCCGTTCATCTCACATACGCTCAGCCAGTTGCGAGCGCCTTGAAAGAGCCCGCTGCACAGGGCCATTATCACAATTAAGTGGCGCACATTCCAGAGCACGGGTACAAATTCTTGTCCTTTGGAGAAAAAAAATAAGGTCATGTTATATCAACTGAGAAACGACTGCAATATACGTTCGCTGAATAGCCAATGCCTCATTGCCTACTCCAATGAGTGTAAAAAGACGTACCAAGGGATGTGGTAGAGGTGTGATAAGCCACAGGGGCTTGAGTATTTTTTTTGCAAATTTTCTTCCGGATTCTAACAGCTGCATACCGATGCTATTGCGCTACCCATATAACACCAAATGAGGGAGTAGGCCAACCTAAGAACTCCAAATGTTGGTGTACCCTAGAACAAATTGCAATACAAATGAAGAATAATTGTATACATTTAAGAACTAATATAAAATAATGCGTATGTGTACATGCATATTTTGTATATATTTTCAGTTTCAGGTAGGTCACGGGCATTAAATTGTAATTTGAATATTTTTTGACATTGCTGTTCTTTTTTCTACAGCCACAGATGACGGTACTCCGAGCCAGAAATTGAATAATATTTTTTTCTTTAACTCAGTGCAAATAAATACTGATAATTAGATGAATTTATTTATCGAAATAGTCAAAAATATCATTGAAATAGAAAATAAGCTGTGAGTTCTGGAGGCCTTCTCTCTTGTTAATGCACGGGACCATGTATATATTAGTATTACTAGGGTCAATTTATTTTCATATTTATTTGCAACAAAAAATGTCACCACTCTAAATGACGTTTCGTGGGGAGAGAAAATTGTGATGCAAAGAAAGTGTTCACTCACTTTGGATTTTTTAGAAAAAACTTATTATAAATAGCGTACACTATATATATATATATATATATATATATATATATATATATATATATATATATATATTTATGTAGTTGTGGGGGTGTAGGCGGGTATGTTAGAATATATATGTATATATGATATAATATATAATATATATATATATATATAATATATATATATATTCTACATACCCGCCTACACCCACACAACTTACAGCACCTTCACAGTAGCACGCATGAACCGTAAGCAGGTTGTCAAGAATTTTGCTCGTGAAAGCGAAGCTTATAACAAATCAAGGGAGCAGGATCTTCAGGGTGGAGAAGGTTTTGAACCCTTGAAACAATAAAACCACACCGATTGCAGACACAAACGAGCGTATAATTTACCATAAACTTTTAGTGGCATAAGTTAATGACAAAAACAAGAATATAGAAATCGCACTTTTACAAAGAATAATCAAAACACAAAAATTAGAAACCTTTACAACACAGACTCATGTGAATGACAGCACAATTTACTTCAAAATTATACTCTGACATAATTACCCTAAACGACACTGGGAATTCCCTTGGAAAATTAATTCTATCTAATTTGTGCATTCTAATTACATTGCAAGCGTGAAATCCAAAAATTCAAATTACAATCTCTCGCTTCAAGATCATAACATGTTAAAGAACAAAATGTTGTGCAAAGTGCGCCTACTCTAATTTTATCTAATTTAAACTGTGTCTGAAACTAGCGAAATAATAAATGTCCCTAGAGTAGAATGTTTTAGGCAGGTCAAAGCGCAATCAAAACGTCTCCTACCCTATCAATACTGTAATTTGTTGCCACCAGTGTCCTCAATTCTTTCACACTTTCCCTATACTAGTTTTCCCTGCCGACGGTGACCTTGACCGTGTTTTTTTCTGCGGATCCTACTGTTACCTCGTGGACTTTCCTAAATTTGGCACTTGAATGCTCGTGCGCTGGTCGCTGCGAGTTGACGCCGTTCGGTCCACCCTCTGCGGTTGTAAGAAGAGACGGGATTCGCCCTGCCGTCTGCGTTGCCTTCTTGCGTCCCTCTCCGTTCTTCTTCGTTTTCGATCCGTCTTCTTCGCTCGTGCGCCCCAAGTCCTCGGCTCTTCTTCCTCCGTCTGCTACCGGCGGCCTCTGAACGCCACGGTGCCAAAAATGTCCCTTTGCACTTTAACCGAATACTCCGTGCAAGTTCCTCGTCGTATGCTACTTTTACTTTGAACCAAGCTAGAACTTTATATGTTTCCCTCACAACGGTACATTTACTTCCCGTGTTGTTAATTAAGAACCACTACTTAATCTGCACTATCTCGCGGACGACTAGCTTAGAACGCTTTCGACGCCGAATACTCTACTAGTAGTCCGTTGCCAAGCGGCAAAACATATCTAAAACTAATGTTTAACGAAAGTGTTGACTCGGCGAACGGTTATCAAAAAGAGACAGCTGTTACTCGGCGTGACCAGAAAGAGAGCTTCCGCTTGCGGGTCGCGGTATTTATGGCGCGGCCTCTTGGGGAAATGTCGGAATGGGGGGGGGGTTGCTTCCCTCTCTTCAACCCTTCAACACAAAGAAACATAGCTCGCTAGTTCGCATTCGTTATAGCTACGGGCAACGGATACCAGGCCGCGCGTTTTTAAGTACCTCTGCCTTACGCGTCTGTTATCCTCGCCGCTTCCGTAGTGTTCACACATGAGACGGTGGTGTTATGAGGTTGCACAATCCCATAACGCCACAATATATATAACATTTTTCAACAGAATCACAAAATAAATAAAATTCAGTACATTTAAGACAAAGCACACACAGGCACACAACATAATTTAACTTTTTTACCGAATACACCTGAGCATTCGTGGGGCTGAGAGGAGCCTCCAGCGCAGTGCAGTTCCGTTAATTACTGGTCCATTTCGGATCCGGTGGTCTGCTTTCGGACTCCCTAATGGACGAACGGGCCGGCGGTAATTCATCAAGGCCACCTGCAGCAACCCAGATCCCACGCTCTCTCGTTTTGCATCGCAGCGGGCTTTGCCAAAGCGGGTCTCTTTCTTGCCGCGCGATGATATTCGACACCGATTCATTGATGTTTCCAAGCACATCTACAATGGTAAGTAATTCCGTTAGAACAGTCAATGAAATATCCCAGCGGGTGGCAGTGTGGTTTTCTGGCGGAACGTGAGATCTAGCGTCCACCTACATTTCGGCTTGCGGGAGATGTCCCTCTCAAGCTACATATACGTGTGCGTAAATAGATAGGATATGGCAAGCAAGAGGAAGGAAAGATCGCGCGATGTTTGTTAGGTTGATTGATTATTAGTGATTACGGGCGTGTCAACTACTAAGGTCATTAGACCCGTAAGTGTAGAGCACGTTTTTCCTCGAGAGGTGGCACTGATCTTGCCTCACTGAATGGTTAGATCCGGCACCGACCTCTAATCGGCTAGCAGAGTTTCTTCAACCAGGTATCTCCCACCAGTGGGCACCACCCCAGCTGGGACAAGCTCTAAGCTCCCGACCGGTCCACCGGTGCCTGTGGTAGTGTAGTGCATGTTAGTGTGTGTGTATGTGTATATGTGTGTATGTAATGTGTACGTGTGTGTAAAGGGCAACGATTTGTAAGTGTTAAAAGTGAGTAATAAATGAGAAGTGAAGTTCACGTGAAATAGGACTGAATACATGCAATGGAACTAGGTTAAATTTCGAAATACTGAACACAAAACATTGTAGACTTGTAGACTTTTAATAATAACTGATTAGTCTTTTGTAAAAAAAAAATATATTGTCCTCTTTGTTTGCTGCATTTCTATCTAGCTGCTTTTTTCTGTACTTCCGCCAGCAAGCATAATACAAACAATCTTCCTTTTCAGCTCAACCTCATGAAAAGACAGCGTCCTACATTCTTCGAATGATCTAAAAGGAAGTTTAGAAACCAACATTGGTCCAATGAATTTGTTTGTTAACTACGCTGGTTAGCTACAATTAACTTCGATGTTTTGGAACTCTGCAAGCATTAGGGTAGTCTGTCACTTCACATTGACTGATCTTTGGTGAACTTTTCTCCTCCAATTAGTGCTCCATGGCAGATCAAAGCTTTTGCAAACGAATATGTAATTTCACTAAAGAATTTATTACTACTGATTGAACACGGGGAATGTCCGTGTTCATAAACAATGCCATTCGAGAGATTGCGAGAGCTGATCTTAATGTAGTGCGCCAACCGTACAGTTATTCCTGAGGCGACTTTGTTTTGTGATGATATTCGACGACCCTCTTTTGTGAATGTAGCTAAGCTGCTTGTTGCTGTCACTCAAGAAACAAAACACTGGCGCCTGAGGTTGCGGGTCCAATCCTATGTCCCCGGCGCCTTGCTGATTTATTCTCGGGCGTCCTGTCACAAACGATACCGTTCGGTGGACGTGTAGCATTCAGTCGTCTTCATTCAAAGTGAGAGATAATATCTCCTAAGATTATATTCATGTATGATCGTGTACTTACGATTCGAAGACGAACAATGTTAAATTGTTATTAAATAAAGTCAAGATCTACAGTAAAAACTCGGAAATGGATTAGAGCCTTGCGTAATAAGTCATTCGCGAAACGATAGAATATCAATAAAAATAACGTTTTAAAAAAATCGAATTGTTGGGAAAGAAACAACAAGAAAATAAATTACCAAATGCGAAGTTTACCACAAGCAGCATTTGTTTCTCCGTTATAATACTGCTCGAGCAAGTTCTAAAAGAATATTCAACTGATTCACGACATGCTAAAGTTTAAATTTTGAATGTGATTCAAATATGCACACCCGCGTCATGTCGCTTCTGTTATCTTGAACCCTTTCCTCGAAGCGTTCAATAGTTTAGGATATGAATTTAGGGTATTACTAAGTAAATTTGGGACTTAACCAAGATTAGTAAGTTATAGAGCGATACATAGGTGATATCTTGTGAAGTGTGTTGTGTAGAGTAGATAAATAATTAAGGAAGTGATTAAAGGATCATAGTGAATTGAAGTGCAGTAGTCTTAATTGAACAAACATTCAATGTGAAGTTAGATTATAGAAGTTTCTTTTTCTTACGGTAATTTAATGTTTCATAAATCAGCCAGTTTTTTATATCACAAGCATTTCACATTTTAAATGAAAAATTAATCAATAATTCAATGAAAAAAAGTAGCTGAAGAAAATGTAAAAGCGTGAATCGTAAGAAGAAAGTAACGAAAGAGGACAAAGTAAACTATGATGATTACTCCACTCGTGAAATTAAAACCAATAGTTTTTAACAATACATATAAAATGCCCTAACATGGCGGTGCATCTAAACAAATTATCTTTTTTTATTACCGGTCCTCCCTATAGCCCAACATTAAGCTACTAATCATATATCTTAGGAGGCGGGATGTACCGATCGGTGTGTTGATGTACTATAACATACTCTTTTTTAACATGCTTTCAATTAATTTGAATATTCGGTGCATTTTGGAACTACGTTGGACGTAATTTCACTCGAAGAATAGTCCTATTAAATACCCCTTGTGTTTTGAAAATTCAAGGATTAATCTCCTCGGGTGGGGGATTAATCGACGATTTCCAAAGCACGTGTGGTATTACCTATACCTACAATAACAATAGAAGAAGAAGATGATGAAAAGAAGTGAAAGTAAGAGAAGAGGAAGGAGATTGAAGAGAAGGTAAAGATTCTCATATCGCTTCCTTCACCCCTCCCCCAAGAAACAGTTAACTCGTGGCAGAATCCAGAACAGCAAGGCACTGTTACCCCCTCCCTCTGCCCGCCCGCGTCCGTCCGTCCGTCCGTCCGCCCATCACCCGTCTGCCCGCCCGCCCATCGCTCTCCGCCCGCCGCCGGTTTTTCCCGCATCGCCCGCGGGCGGTGGGCGCGCCGCATACAGTGGGTCACCACGACACCACACCTAACACAATACGATGCCCAATGATATATTTAAAAAAAAGGTTTTTCTACTCCCGTTTCGTAATTTGATAGCTGCAATCCGTTACATAATAATGCTGATTATGATACAGATTTCATTATGACACAGGTGAGACACAGGAGAGACACATTATGACACAGGAGACACCAATGAGTTTTAAGTGACACCAATTAAATTTTGACAATTCACATTGAGAGTAGTTCTGTTTCGTTTGATGTTTCGTTTGATTGGGTACATTAAAATAGCATTTAGTATTATATTGTACTTGTCAGTGTTAATTTATTTTATTAGTAGTATTTTACGTGGGGTATTATTTAAAATAAAATGGATGGTCATTTCGTTTGGAACCTATTTGCATTAGGGTAGGGTAGAGAACTGAGCGGTAGGTAGCCTTGGCTGCATCCTGCATGTCAACTGTCACGAAACGATTCAATGTAAAATTTTAACTTGTAAAAGTGACCTTAAGTCGTAGAAAAAGTACCGAATGAAACTCGATGTAATAGGTATTAATTCACTCGGGTGAAGTTTGCGATACTCGCTCATATCGTAATATCACAGTCGTGTGTTAATACCCATCCCCACATCATCGTTCCGTAATGTTCTCGTGAAATTAAAAACCAATAATGTTTACCTTTACATATAAAATGACTTAATCAGGGCAATGTATAAAACATTTATCGTTTTTTCTTACCGGTCCTCCTTACTGTCCAATATTATATTTAATTATATTATTTGTACAGTTATGTGGGTGGCGGGTGCTAACCGAGATCTTATACCTCAATTTATACCAAACTTACAATCAACTATTTACAATTTTAAGCAACTTATTTCCATTATTGACACACTTTTGCACTTAAAATGCAAGACCCTGGCTTGGCGAGGTACGGAGAGACTTTGCTAGCGCACGTAATTTGGATCTGTTCTCCTCTGGGTCCACTTCGACCCAGTGTGCGCGTCTTGGCGGTGTCAGTGGGTTCCCACGCGCGGTGGGGCGGGGCAGGATGGGACGAGACGGCAGAGGCGAGGCGGCGAGCAGGAGCAGGCACGGGTGGCAGTGCGGTCGGCAGGCGACGCGGAGGCGGGCAGGACAGACGACGGGCGCGTGGGGCTGGCGCTGCGGGCGAGGAGGCGCGGGCGGGCGGAGCCGCGGGGCGGCGGCGGGGCGGGGATGAGCGGAGAACGGCGGCACAAGGTACTGCGCGGAGCTGAGCTGAGCGGCGTGGCCAGGGTTGGGCGGTGCAGGGGGAGGCGCGCGTAAATTAATTAGTTCGCCCGCCGCCCACCGCGGTGCCACGGTGCCCTGCAGGGTTGCACAAGCGGCCGCTTGACCCGTGCTGACCGCTCCGCCCTGGGAATTCCCCGCGCGGTGGCCTATGGGAGCGCAATTACGCCCCGAGTCACGCAAGAGCGAGCGGTCGCCGTTTAATTAAGAAACAAAATCCAGACGGGGACGGAGTCCCACGCGTCCGGGTGCAACAGGTATTTACGAAGCTAAGTCTTTGTCGAATGAATGAAATGTTGACAAACGACAGAAGCTGAGACCGGCGTTTTGAAATGAGTCCTCCTTTCCTACGAGGTGCGCGTATTTTTCGTGAATAAAAACATTTAAAAAAATTAATGTGTAAGAGTAATTGTTTTCAATGAAAATGTTCGAAATAATTATTTTTTTTAAACAGTATGCATATTAAGAAAATGGAGAACTGCGATGTATGTATAAATTGTACTATCTGAGATTCCGCGAAATGAGACGTCCGGATGTAATGGTTATTTACATAGCAAGTGCAGTAAGTGAGTCTTTAGCGAACGAATGAAATGTTAACGGACGAAGTGACGATAGAAATTGAGTCTGGCACTTTGAAATAAGTAATAAATCAAGTAATAAGTCAATAAAATCGTGAATAAAATGTTTCAATTACCTAAAGTAATAAATGTAGATTTAAAAGTTTGCAATGGAAATATTCAGAATAATTAGAAATATAATGCATATTAAGAAATTAGACAAAATATGCAAAATATGCACTATAAATCACATTTCTTTGAATGCAAATTGTGTGGGATGTACACATGACACAAGTAATCCCACTTTCTAACTGAGAGGCACAAATATGAGTTTGCAATGAAGCATGTTTTGGGG